TGGCCCCGGGGTTCTCTAACCCAATCCATGGAATGAGGCAAGATCGGTATTCCTCAATTTTTAGCCACTTTAAGAGGGGTGGACTTCAACTCCCAGAATTCCCTAGCCTAGCTGGCTGGGGAATTCTGGGAGTTGAAGTCCACCCTGTTGTGGTTCACCGGCAGCCTGTGCAGACGGCAGCAGAATCACAGTGGGGAGGGACATGGGCCAGTCCGAGAGTCTGGGGAGGACTCGGATGAGGGTCCTGCGACTGACATAGAGATGGGGCCAGGGCCATCTGGGAGTTGTGTGCTGACTCTGGAGCCTCCAGAGTCTGGCAGCAGCGAGGCAGAGGAACAAGGGGAGCCTGTTCCCAGTGCGCGCATGCACAGAGCTGCCAGAAGGCAAGAGCAGCTAAGACAAAGGGGCGACTTGGGAGTAATGCTGGGAGGTGATTGGCCCTCCCCTAAGGTATAAAGGAAGTGCAAAGGTTTTCCTACCTTTGCACTTAGCAACGTCGTTCACTCTGTTCAGATTAAACCTTGAAGCTCTTTGTGGACTTTGTACTTCAGTTGTTTTTTTTAACAGTTAATTTGGCACTTTAGTTGTTGGCAGCAATTCAAAGGAGAGAAAGGTGGGTGCTTATCTCGAGGGACTGTTTGGGACTCATTACTGGCTGGGAGTGAACATAATTCCCAGCTGTTGAAGTAAAAAGAGGGTCGTTTGGACTTAGTCTATACTTAATTAACGGTCTCAGGAAGCCTTGGTCAAAACAAACATTGATGCTAACTAGGAAAGCTTCAGTACAAGTCATCCGATCTTTGGAAGAAAAACCAACTTGGCTGCTGTCCGTCTGCTGTTCTTGAGTGGGTCACCTTGCAGGATCACTCTCTTCACGCCTAGGTTTCTTTCTCAGCTCTGTCCTATTTCATTCTGGTTTTGTTTTCTTTCTTTTTTTTACGACTTGCTTGTTTCTGATTCTCGGCCCAGTTGGACTCCCAACTCCCAGAATTCTGTGATTATGATGCATGGACTAAAACTCCCAGAATTCCATGTTTAAGGTGTGTGGACTTCAATTCCCAGAATTCCTTGCTTAAGAGGCTTAGACCTCCATTCCTCATATTACATGCTTAAGATGCTTTAAACTCCCAGAATTCTGTGCTCACTTTCAATTCCCAGAATTCCTGCTGGGTTGAGAATTCTGGGAGTTGAAGTCCCATCACCCATCTGCGCCCATGTCTCTTATCTCTGAGGCCTGGCCTCTCTTCCTTTACATTGTTGGATGCTCCTCCTTCCTTTAAAGCATCGTTTCTGCTTGCGTAGAATTTAGGGTGGCATTATTCCTGGTCATTCCAAAAATCCTTACGTCCCCCATTCTTTCTTTTTTTAAAAAAAATATAAAAATCCTATTTTTGTGGCTCTTTGTCTCGCCTCCTTGTTTCTAGGGGTGCAGCAGCCCAGACCCCTCTTCCTGGAGCCCTGAGACCCACCCAGTCCATTTGCCTTCCTTCCCTTCTGCGCAGCTTCCTCTCTGTTCAGTTTGTCCCTCCGTTGCTATTCAGGTCAAACCTCCCATGTCCTGAAAAGCAAAACAAAAGAGATATTGGCTCTCCTGGTTGCTGGTTCAAGGACCCCATCCGATGACTCTGTCTCACTGAGAGAGAAAGGAAGAAAGAAAGAGAGAGAGAGAGAGAAAGAAAAGAAAAAGAAAGAAAGAAAGAGAGAAAGAGAGAGAGAGAAAGAAAGAAAAGAAAAAGAAAGAAAGAAAGAAAGAAAAGGAAGAAAGAAAGAGAGAGAGAGAAAGAAAAGAAAAAGA